TGAGTTATGGTGTTGGAGAAGAATATTGAAAGTGCCATGGGCTGCCAAAAGAACAAACAGATCTGTGTTGGAAGAAGTGCAGCCAGAGTGCTCATTGGAGGCCAGGATGGCCAAACTTCATCTCTTGTATTTCAGACATATTGTCAGAAGGGACCATTCTCTGGAGTAGGGTATCATATTTGGTAAAGTGGAGAGTCAGAGAAAAAGAGGAAGGCCCCCAACTAGATGTATTGGCCAGGTAGCAGCAACGATGGACTCAAGCATGGCAACAATAGTGAGGTTGACCCAGTATGAGGCAGTGTTTCATTCTGCTGTGCATAGTGTCTCTATGAATCAGTACTGACTCGATGGCTCCTAACAGCAACAACAAATAAAAAGACAGATGTTTCATTCTTTCGTTATGCAATAAGTCAGGAAGATAGAGTCCAATGTTGATATGACAACTCTACAGTCTTGGTCCCAGAACATCCCTTCCACATCCAAGCTCACATTATAGTACAAGATGGCTGCCAAAGTTTCAGACATTGGTTGCACATTACTAATGTAAGGAGACAACGCAAAAGAGTAGAAGGCTTGTGAGTCAACTCACATCAAGGAGATTCCCAAGATGTAGCATATAAACCTTTCCTTACATGTCCCTGACCTTATTTTAATTAAATGAAAACCCTAGCGGCTATCTGCTCCCATAAAGATCTACAGCCTCAGAAACACTGTTCAGGGTCGCTATGGGTTGAACCAACTCGATGACACTTAATAACAACAACACAACAAATGCAGTGTACCTTCAGCATTGTGCCCAGTTAGGCAAAAATCATAATCTTGTTAAATAATGAGAATTCAGGCATAAAGGAAGGACTCTAGGCATCACTGTCACAGTGATAAAAGTACTCTAAAAAGGAATAGAGCAGAATAAAGATGTAGAAGAGGAAGAAAGTGTGTTGTCATTTGTTTGTTTGTTTGTTTGTTTGTAGTTTTAGTTTCCCAGAGAAGGCATTCCTTATTGGCCAATGTTTCAGCACTAACTCCAAAGAATTTATAGAGTTTGATTCAAGTGAATATATAGGGCAAGAAGCTTTCACACAAAGGGAACAGCAAAGGAAATGTCTAAAAAAAAAATTATCTTACATTCTAAAATAGCAAGAAAGTTAATGTGACAAGAGATAAGTCTAGAGCAATGATTAGAAGCCAAAGGCCAGACAGGGAAGTCTTTGAGGTTATTGAAAGAAACTTAATTTTAAATGAAATGATTTACAAATCTGTAGAGGGTTTGGGACATAAGCGTGATGTGGCAGACTTACAATAATATAGAAAAACTCTGGGTGTTTTGTGTAGAAGGAACTGTAGGGGAACAAGAGTGGAAGGAAGCACAGATGCTAATGGAACTAACCAGGCAAGAAATGATGATATCTTAGAGTAAGGCCTTATGTACAGTGGATGACAAGTGATGCTTCTGGTTATATTGTGAAGCTCAAGCCAGCAGGATTGGCTGATGACTATTTGTGGGATATGTGAGAACAAACATATCAAGGATAACTGTCAGGTTTTTAACCCATTCAGTTAAACTAATTTCTAAAATTGGTCTGATTACAAAAGGAACAGGTTGGAGGGAGTTTCAGAGTTGAGTTTCTGATGTTAAAGTTGGAGTTCTAGTCAATTTCTGACATGAGTTTTTCTATGGGCTGCAAAATTAAAATGAAATAACAGAAATATTAAGACATTTACCTTTATTCAAAGGCTCCATGTCCTGATTCTAATTTCCTCTGTTGCACTAGGCAGAAGAGACCCTGATGAAGTACTTGGAATCCAAAGAAGATGTGGCTGGTGCACTTCTACAGACTGATCAGTCACTCACAGAAAAGGAGAAAGAAATTGAAGGTGAGAACTAGCTGAAAACATTCTAGGTAGATTAAGTAGATGGAAAGCCCCAGATATGTTAAGGTTACCTGTGTTGGACACCTGGAATCATCAATATAACGAAATATTGTTCTTACCATTTGTCATAGAGTCAGATGCAACTCATGATGACCACATGTGTGCAGAGAACTATTCCATAGTGTTTTCAAGGCTGTGACCTTTACAAAGCAGATCACCAGACCTATCTCCCAAGGAACAACTAGTGGATTTGAAACCCCAAACTTTCAGCTGCAGTCGAGTGTTTAACCACTTGAGCCACCTAGGGACTTCTAGACACAGAATAACAAGTATAATTCTTAATGCTATAAGATTTTTCTCTCCCCATATGTATGGTCATCTATCTTCTCATAATCTATTGCATAAACTTCCATAAGAACTTTTCTGTCATAAAGAAAACAATCAAAAAAAGGCTGAAAGGCATAAAAACTCGTTCTTAATATTTTTCTGCCTATTTTCCCTCCTCAGTGGAACGTGTTAAAGCAGAATCTGCAGAGGCTGCAACCAAAATGCTAGAGAAACTCCAAAAGAAGAATCAGTTGATGATGGAACAGAAAGATAAGAGCTATCAGGAACATGTGAGACAATTGACAGAGAAGATGCAAAGTGATAGGGTTCAGCTAATGGCAGAACAAGAGAAGATCCTTGCTCTGAAACTTCAGGTATTCAATTGTGTCATCTAAATTTTCTCTTCCATTATACTGAATCAAACATAGTGGAGGAGTGAACATGACACCCATACAAAGATCTTTCCAGTCTATGAGTCCTACACTTTGCATTTCCTTTGTGTTTCTATCCATGCCCTTTTCTGTTCTTAAAACCTCTTCATACCACTCAAATCAATACTGAGAAGCCCTAACAATATAGGATCTTTTCTCACACTGCATGCATGTGCATGTTCATCTGGTCTCTGGTTATCTAATACAAAAACTTCTCCTAGCATTTTTGGGATAAAATCCCTTTGTTACCACTGATAAACCCACTGACCATTCCCACTGCCATTGAGTTGATCCTGACTCATGGTCCTACATAGATTTTCCTTTAAATCTTTATGGGAGCAGACAGCCTCACCTTTCTATCATGGAGTGGTTGGCAGATTTGAACCTTCAGCCTCATGGTTAGCAATCCAGTTCCTAAGAAACAGTCACACCAGGGTATCACTAATAAACTGTGGCTCTTGTGAGGCACTGAACAAAATATTTTACTTGTATTCTGTAATTAATATCTCATATAACTGACAGGAACTATTATAGTCTCATTTTTCAAGTGAGAAAATTGTAATTTTACAAAAGACAAGTAACTTTTCTGGGTCATATCCCCTTTAAAAATATTTGCCTATCTTTCCTAATGAGGGGTGTCCATAGTAATTTTGTGTCTGCTATACATGGCAGGACTTTATCTCCATACATTGCCTAACAAGAAGAACGAACCCTAATGATGTAACTACTTACCAACACTGGTTAAGTGCTCAGTTTGCCAGTAAATTCTTTGTCTACAGATCCTACTCTGCTTCTGTTGAGTCTGATGTCAGTTCTGAATTGTCAGTGCAGACCAGGGCCTCATAAACACCTTTCTGTTACTTCTACCTCCAAAACTGGTAATTTTACCTAATTCTTTGACTAGACATTTCCTCCAATTCTGAGAACCATGCAGTAACCTTTCCTTTGGATTTCATCCATTCTTCTTGCCTTCCTAAATTTTACACTATATAGATGATAGTTAAAGCAAAATGACCAAAAAAGGGTGGGGCAAAACTGTGATAATTCTCCAGTGTTTGCACCAAATATGGGTGAAGAAGCGCAAGAAGATAATTCCAGGGCACCAATATTTCAAAAAAGTATAACACAAGAAATTTCTAAAGTTAGACTAAAATGACCATAAAAGTTAATGGCAGACCTATCCTCTCTGTTTACAGAGTTAAGAGGGATGGACAACTTAGACATTGGTTACCTAAAATGGAGGGGAACTATAAAGGCACGAATCGACTGGCTTACAAAATTTCAAGAGGGAGTTTAGTTTCAGATTGCATGGAAAGGTAGAATCCCCAGTGAATAGTTTTCATCTTGTCTACATGGGTCGGGTGAAAGGAGATGGGGATAAGATTATTATGATTCATAGTGAGCAATTTTTATCATGGCCAAATACAGCTGTCACAACTGTAAATGTAGAAGTTTTGTAACAAAAAGGAAGGAGTAGTTAATCTTAAGTGCAGGAACAGAGGACCCTAGAACCATCAAGGGAGAAGAGCATGAGTATAATGTGGAACCCTATCAGAGAATCAGTGACATCAGAAATAGAGGCAGAGATGAGCACATGGATAGCGGCAGCAGCTGACGACTCTAGATTCATGGAAATAGAAAGACTATGTGCTGGTGGCCAGGAGGCAGGCTTACAGAATGTGCCCTTTGGTTGTTAAAATTATTATATATTCCTGAATGTTTTTGTGTACATCCCTCACAAACACACACACACATACAAAAACAAAAACAAAACAAAAACCAGAGGGAATAGAAGCAAATACTGTTGAATGATGAAGCATGGAGGAGACTGTAGTCATTGCAATGAAACAATGAGTGTGAAATCAATGTTCTCCCAGGTAAACTATCACTCAATTAACAACAAAAAAAACTTTTAAAAAAAATTAATGACAGAGATAAAAGACTCAGGACAGAGTGATATCATGGAAATTAAGGGAGGCAAGATTTCCGAGAATGAGTTTCAAAAGCTATTGAGTGATTAATGTAACCTCTGAAAGGGAAATGGATTTATTATTTATGGGATACATTTTATATTGTATGAGTTTAAGTCATCACTTTCTCTTTTTAGGAACAGAAACTACTTCTTTTGGAGGGATTTGAAAAAGAGAGCAAGAAACTTCTAAACGAGATCCAAGATATCAAGAATAGACCAGTAGATATAGTCTCAGGGTGTATCATACTCTGAAAAGCTAAAGAACAGAGATTCCTTTTCCAGTTCCCTGTCTTCACAGTACAAGTCACATAAGTATCTTCAGAAGAACAGGCAATTGCCCCTAAGTTTGAAATAATTTTGTTTGTACTTTTCTTGAGCCATAAACTTTGCCAACACAAAGCATAAGTGTGAATGCAATGCTTTACTGATCAAGTGCTTATTTATGGTTTTGTTGTTATTGTTAGCTTCCATAGAGTCAGTTCTGACTGCTAACAACCCCTTGTACAACAGAACAAAACACTGCCCAGTTCTACACCATCCTCACAACCATTGTAAAGCTTGAGCCCATCGTTATAGCCACTGTGTCAATCCATCTCATTGAGGGTTTTCCTCTTTTTCACTGATCTTCTGCTTCACAGAAGCATTATGTCCTTCATGATATCATGTCCAAACACTGAGATGAATTCAAGCCATCCTCACTTCTAAGGAGCACTGTGGCTGCACCTCTTCCAACACAGATTCATTTCTTCTGCTAGCACTCCAGGGTATATTCAGTATTCTTAGCTAACACCATCAGTTTTTGTTTGATCTTCCTTTTTCATTGTCCAGTTCTCACATATATATGGTACCAATGATTAATACTCAAATCAACTTCAGCTGAATTTGAAATCTAATGTATTGATTCAGGAAATTTCTATTTGTGTGATTGGAACACAATTTACATTAGGGAGGTATCAGGTGGGTTCTCTTCAGGGTGATCTTTTTCTTTCTCGTCCACATCACTCCTCCAGAGTTCTTCAACCCCATGCTCTTTCAGGGTTTACTTGGGTTTGAGGAATAAGGTTGGGGTTTGTGGACATAAAGCAAATCAAGTGTGGACTGAGAAAAGCCATTCAGCACAGCTAAGGATCTCCCCTGTTATATGGCCATTGGGCCATGTGCTGGCTACAAATAAAGGAACCCATTAGCCACTACTGTTAGAGACAATTAACTTGGTGTCAGTGTAACAGCACACAGTCCTCAGCCTGGTCTGTGAGCATTGATATGACTCCTGGACCCTCAGGGAAATGCTTACCTTTGTGCACAGTGGACATAATAGATGAAGAGTCAGTTTTCTGTTTCTATAAAAACCCTGTGGGTAATTACTGTTCCATTCTCAGTCCAACGTTACCTTTGCCCTAATTGACATTTCAGTCTTTCCCTTCTTCCAAGAATCCAGAGAGTAATTTCCATAATTAGAAAAATAACTGGTCAGAAATCAAGCTGTAAAGAGGAGATTCAGTTAGTAAACATTTTTAAAATTTTAATACAATGATAAACATAGTGTTGTTAAGTCCTGTTGAGTCAGGTCTGACTCATAGCAACCCTGTATAGGGTTTCTGAGAAGTGACTGGTGGGTTTGAACCACCAACCTTGCTGTTCAATCTGACCTTGGGGTCCAGTGTTTATCCTATGGCATCATGTCAGGACTTCAATAAGCATATTGGGAAATATGAATTAAAATAAAAACATAGAAAACTACTAAGCAATAATGGTATCCTTAAAAATGTGTGTGAACTGAAAATAAGCTGTGCTAGAAATATAAAAGATCAACTAAAAATAATATCTACAAATCTTTATGTTGTTGCTGTTAGGTGCTATTAGGCGCAGTTTCAACCCCTTGCAGCCCTATGTACCACAGAAAGAAATATCACCTAGTCATGCACAATCCTCACAATTTTTGCTATGTTTAAGCTCCGTGTATTAGTCACCGTTGTCAGTTCATCTTTTCTTGGTCTTCTACTAAGTATGACACTCTACTAAGTGTGATGTCCTACTCCTAATAATCTGTGCAAAGAGCATGAGAATTCTCACCATCCGTGCTTCTAAGGAACATTCTGATTATACTTCTTCCAAAATAGATTAGATCTGCATAAAATCTACAATTGTTGTTAAGTGCCATCAAGTCAGTTCTGACTCACAGCAACCCTATATAAGGTTTCTGAGAATCAGTTGGTGGGTTCCGACTGCTGACCTTGTGGTTCACCGTTAAGTGCCTATCCTACAGTGCCACCGCAGGAGTCTAAAATCTATAAATCTATAATGAATAGTAGATCATCTATGCTATTTTTATTTAACATAAATTTCAAATATATGTAAATAAGTTCATTATTTATACATCAACTTATGCTAGCCTACTACGCGGCACTGTAGGTTCAGCACTGGACTGCTAACCCCAATGTTAGCAGTTCAAACCCACCAGCTGCTTCTTGGAAACTCTATGCAAGGTCACTATGAGTTGGAACTGATTCCATAACATATACTAACAATAACAAGTTTTGTTAATCATAACAAGAGTCTTGAGGTTCCTCACCAAGTGACTTATTCTAATTTTCACTCAGAAAAAAATAAACTCATTTTTTTAAAGGAGCCAAAGCAAAACATGGGGAAAGGATCCCATTGTCAAATATTTCAAAATATATAAATTATAGTCATTTTAAACTGAGGCACTAAATTTAATAAGAATCAATGGAAACTATAGACTAGAAAGTGGAGAAACTAATTGAAATAGAAATCATAAAAACAATCTAACTATTTGAAATAAACAGACTTTGTTCCATTTCACAAAATTGATATGAAAATAAGTTCCTCATGGATAAAAGTTTCAAATATTGCAGTGGTGTTTTGAGGCAGATTACTTCGGGCTTCTCCCTCCCTGTCCTCTCCATTCCTTAGTGTTTATGGTTGAGTCAAACTCTATCTCAGTAGAGTAAATCCTATTACAGCAGTGACCATCTAGTTAGTGTTCATACGTCACCAGCACCTAGCAGTGGACTGTGCACACAGCACTACTCTCTCTACAGCCACACATTTTGTAGATTGCTTTTCTCTCTGGTCTTGCTTCCATTGTACAAGAAAATCATTAACCCTGGCTGAAAAAAAATGAATCCTTGTAGCTGTGCCCCTAGGCAATTGGCAAATGAGCGCTGGTAGCATGGTGATGGTGGCTATGTGCCGTGGAGTCGATTCCGACTCATAGCGACCCTGTACAGGGTTTCCGAGGCTATAAATCTTTACGGGAGCAGAAAGCCTCGTCTTTGTCCCGCAGAACAGCTGGTAGTTTCAAACTGCTGACCTTGCGGTTCGCAGCCCGATTCGTAACCACTACGCTACCAGAACTCCTAAGCATAGTAGGTTACAAAGTGGACTGCTAACTGCAAGGCCAGCCGTTCAAATCTACCAGGCACTCCGCAGGAGAAAGATGAGGCTTTCTGTCCCCGTAAAGATTTACAGCCTCAAAAACCCAATACAGGTTCATTATGAGTCAAACCCGACTCTACAGCACACCACCAACACTGTTTTGTTTATGAAAACCGGTTTAATGTAAAAGCATTTTCACACCTGAAGTTCAGAGAGCTTGGGACTTTAACATGCTGGGATTTAAAAGTCAGCTTATTGACTGGAGGGAAGACATGTATTAATTTGGGTTAAGGGGGAAATAATTAATTTTTTTTAATGCAGGACCATATTTGAAGCTACTCTTTGTTTTAATTTATGTGAAATACTTTTCCAAAAAACAGATCACAAGCCGGTCTTTACACTATAATATTAAAGATCTTAGCCTTGATTGACTTCCTTGTAGACATCCCCAGGGTTGCAAAAGTTAATGCAAGTACTGATACTTGTTGTTGTTATTGTTAAGTGCAATCAAGTCAGTTCCGACTCATAGTGATCCTGTATACGGTTTCCAAGGAGCAGTTAGTGAGTTTGAACCACCGACCTTGCAGTTCAAACTGACCTTGCGGTTCAATGCATTTTCCTGCTACACCACACCAGGACATCTATATTTAATATACATGCCAAATTCTTTAAAATAAATATGTTACAAATATAAAAATATGCCCAGCTGTATTTTCATGATGCTACACAGCAAAGAAAACCTTTGATTTATATAGCTAATAGTACATACTTGTTATTGTTGTTAAGTGCTATCGAGTAGCTTCCCACCCATAGCAACTCTGTATAGGATCTGATATGTTGTCGTTGTTGTTGTTATGTGCCGTGGAGTCGGTTCCGACTCATAGCGACCCTGTACAGGGTTTCCGAGACTGTAAATCCTTACGGGAGCAGAAAGCCTCATCTTTCTCCCGCGGAACAGCTGGTAGTTTCGAACTGCTGACCTTAAGGTTTGCAGACCGATTCGTAACCACTACGCTACCAGAGTTCCTTAGGGTCTGATATAGGAGGTAATAAAGGTCCCTGGGTGGACAAAACAGTTTGTATTTGACTGTTCAAATCCACTGAGTGTCATTGCAGAAGGAAGGTCTGGCAATCTGCTTTTTTATGAAGTTTATAGCCAAGAATTCCATTTGAGATAGTTCTATTACAAAACACATGGGTTGTCATGAATTAGAATCTACTCCACTGAAACACATTTGTTGTTTCGCTTTTAGATAATGCTGTTCTCTTGAGTGCCATTAAGTTGCTTCCAACTGATAGTGATGCTGTACAGTGACTGGTGGGTTTGAATGCTGATCTTGCATTTAGCAGTCCAGTTGTTAGTGTATAGCACCACACAAGATCCCTTATATATAATACATACACAAATATATGTGAATATATGTCGATATGTATATGTATATGCATGCATACACATGCTCACACACACACTTATATATGTATATATCCTGGTGTGGCACTGTGGACCACAAGATCAGAACCATAAGGTTAGTGGTTCAAACTCACCAGCCACTCCTTGGAAACCCTTTACAGTGCTTCTATGAGTCGGGACCAACTCAATGACACTTAACAACAACATACATATGTGCAGTCCTGATGTGGTGCTGCAGGATAATTCACCGGACCACAAGGTTGGTTTGAAATGCAAGGTCAGTCGCCCTTGGAAATCCTATACAAGATCACTTTGAGTCAGAACCAATTTAATGACATTTAACCACAACAATAACAACAAATATATATATATGTGTGTGTGTGTGTGTGTGCCAAGAAATTTGGAAGACAACTGTCTGGCCGACTGATTGGAAGAGATCAAT